TTACAACTTAGAATTTGTCTAAGGCAAAAAAAGAAAAAAAAGAGAAATTTGTCATTGCAAACCCAAAAGCTTCTTCTTTTTATGGTATATTAAGGATTCTTAATGATTTAGAACTCCTAAAAGGTTTAAAACTTCTAAAACTAGATTAGATTAAAAATCTTATAAAGATTTATAATCCTAAATTGTTTAGGGCTTACAACTACAATGTGAAAAAAATTCTAATTGGACTAGGAAACATAAATAGTTTAATTAAACAGATGTATTAATTCAAATATTTTTTGATCTGACATTTTTATAATATCAAAAGATGATATGTTACGATTATTAGGATTAATTTTTTAAAAGATTTCAAAATCATTTACTTACCTTAAGAAAAAGTTGATCTCTTCTTGTTTTTGTACCATTCAAGTAATAATCTCCTAAAGATGTTTATGGTTATTAGCAAACAATTTTCTTAGTGCATTGAAAATTTACCCCATGATTGTATATTGGTTGAGAATTGTCTATATAAAATTTAAGAGGAGTTTTAGTTGGTTCACCTAACCTAAGGAGAAGTTGAAATTATGTGCAATAATAGTGCTATACATAACATGCATCCTTAATATGATTTTTTATTTGGTTAACCCTACCTTACTAAAGTGGATTTCTAAACACAACTATTCTTACTAAATAATTAAGGCATTCAATAACTTGTTCATTAAGATTTCTATGAAAAACTACTTGATAGTCAAGGTTGAAAGTTTTGAGAACTTGTTCACCAAAATTCTAAGATTTGTTTTCATGATCATCAAGTTGAATGGACTCTTTTGACAATAACTTTAAGTAAGTATTACTTGTACTAAAACATGACCACATAGGCATTCGACGCTATGTTTAAGCATTTAGAACCCTAAATAGAATGGCTAAAATATGCACCATAAGATGCCAAGTTGAGATTACACTAGAAACCCTAAACCTAAAAGCAATAAAAACCCAAGTCGGACTAGGACTTGTGGAAACATAGAACAACTTAGGTATCTTAATATCTTAAACTATTTTATTATCCTAAATGGCTTAGGACTTGTAAAGCAATTATTTTCTTACAAAATTTTTCTAATTAAAAAAATGACAAAAAATAAAAAGAAAACAAAAAAAAAAGTGCAAAAAAAAAAAACCAAATGAAAGTGCCATATGGACACTTCATTTGGCCATTTATGTTTTCAAACGTAATTAGGAAATATTAAAATAGGTAATTTATAAATATAACAAAAAGTAAAAAAGATGAAATTAAAAAAAAAATAAAAAGGAAAAAAGTAAGAAAAATGAAAAAAAAATTAAAATGAAGGTGCCACGTGCACACCTTGCATTTAAAGATAATAACGGGTCAGATTGAGTAGATTTAGGCTCAGTCCAACATCGACCCAACTCTTTAGTAATTGCCCTTATTGGATCGAGGTGGGTTGAAACCAATCTAAAAAGATTTTACATTAACAACTTTATTAATATAATATATATACTTAAATCTAAAATTAAATAAATAATTAAATATATACTTTTATATATATTTTGAGATAAGTTAAGGCAAAGGATCCTAAACCTACTTTTGATCAACTCCATTTAAAAAAAAAAAAAAAACCTAATTTGCTCCAATTGGATCTCAATTTTAAAAAAATCACTATTATCAGATTTGGGCAAATCAAAATTCATCAGATACATATTGTCTAGCCATTCTTATTTATGGACTTTTTTTTTGTAAAATTTATTTAATTAAAAAACACATAAAAAATAAAAAAAAATAAAAAAATAGAATGTCATGTGAACACCTCTATTGGCCTATTTTTCATAAAACTTATCTAATTTAAAAACAAAAAAAAATTTAAAAATCAAAGAAACGGAGCAACCTAGACCCATTTTCAACTCGATCACAATTTAAAAAATACCACTTACCCTAATCCAATCTTGATTTTAAAAAAAATAATCCTAATGGATCAGAGCACGTTGAAACTTATCAAAAATAAATTATTTTCTCATCCTTACCCACATTACCTTATTTTTTTTTATAAAATTTATCTATTTAAAAAAATAAAAAAAAACTAAAAAACAAAGGACATAGAAAAAAAAGCCATATGGGGGCTACCATGAGGGCACCTCTATTCGCATCATTTTCTTACAAAATTTTATATATAGATTTAAAAAAAAAACAAATGGTAAGAAAAACAAAAAAGAAAACAAAAACTAAAAAAGAAAAGATTGAAAAAAAGAGAAAAAATTTGGGTACCACATTGACATTTTCATATGTATTTTTTCTTAAAAAATTATATAATTCAAAAAAAAAAAGAAATGACAAAAAATTAAAAAATAATAATAAAAAATTCAAATAAACCCCACACAATGTTTCTTAAAAAATAAAAATAAAAATATTTATTAAATATAAAAATAGAAAAATAGAAAAACGAAAAGAAAATGAAAGAAAAAGGAAAAAAAAAAAAGGAAAGATCACGGGATGTGCCATGCGAGATAAAAATAAGTAAATTTATTATATAGATTTAAAAAATAAAAATGTAAAAAAATTTTAAAAAACAAAAAAGGATAAAAAAATATTAAATCTAAATGTGATATCGACACTCTCATTATATCATTTTTTTAAAAAATCAAATTAAAAAAAAGAAGCAAAAGTTGTTTTGAAATTAGTAATATTAAATTCAAATATTAGTAATATTTATTAAATATTAAAAAAGGAAAAAGGAAAGAAATGTAAATAGAAAAAAAAAGATAAAAAGAAAAAGAGAAAAAAATAAATGATTTGAAACATGACATACCTTTGATATCAAATATGTTGGACAAAAAAGAATTTAAAATCTTAAAAAATGTTTATTAAATAAATAAATAGGAAAATAATTAAAAAAAAAGAAAAAAAGTAAACTTATTTTATACACTTATGAGGCATTTGGTTCGCGAATTTGTATATTTTAAGAGAAAAAGTAATTTAAAGAAAAGTGATATTGAAAGAGAATATGTGATTCTTGAGTTTTTATGAACTTAAAGAATATAAGATTTTTGTGTTTGGTTCACGCAAATGTAAAATTATCTAATAAAATTTTTACTATTCTATCTTTGATAATATGTGAATAATACGTGATATTCATAATACTGAAATATTATATTTTCAACAAACTTTATGTTTTCTATCTTAGGAATGTTCTCTGTTGAATTCTAAAAAATATATTTTTTATATTTTTAATAAAAGCTACGCTTTCTATTTTAGAAGATTCATCTTTGTTAAATTCTAAAAACTATATTTTTTATATTATCAGCAAAGACTGTGTTTTTATTTTAAAAATGCCATCTTTTTAACAAAAGACAATTTTTTTTTTATCTTAGAAATGTTATCTTTTCAACAAAAACTATTTTCTCTTTTTGAAACATCATCTTTGCTGAATTCTAAAAAATATTTTTTTTTCATGTTTTTGTTCAAAAATTGAGTTTTCTATCTTATAAGCTTCATTTTTGTTGAATTTTGAAAAATAATTTTTTTTTCATATTTTCAACAAAAAAATTGTATATTCTATCTTGGAAAATATTATTTTTTATAATTAACAATATTTCATATGTTAAAAACATAATGTTTTTGAAATTATAAAAAAAAATTAAAATTCATATTTTTCAAAAATCAACTACGTTTTTATTTTAAAAATGTTATTTCCATGATAATTAATTTTCATAATATATTATAACATATAATTATATTTCTAACATAACAACGTTGTGTAAATGAAAAAAATTGGCTTTGTGTGAAGAATAGGTCTCTATTTATCATGTAATTATATTGATTCTTAAGGCTAAAATAGATGGTAAATTATTATTGAGGGCAAAAAAGAGATAAATTTTTCATTCTGCCAAGAATTTTAAAAAAACCTAAAAAAAAGTAGATTGAATTTTTGATTCAGCATTATTATCTTCCTTTTTTGATATTATTGAAAATTTTATAAAGCTTCGAGAATCATAAACCATGAATCAAAGTAAAGAATCAAATTATGAAAAGTAAGATTCGGACTAGTAGTCTCACTCTCTTCGAACCAAATATTTTTTAGTATCAAGTGGGTCTCACACAAAAAAAATTAAAATATACAAAAAAAATTATTAAAAATTTTAAAAAAGAAAAAGAAAATGGTAAAAAATGAAAAAACTTAGTATAAAATGGGTCCAAGCTCTAAAAAATTTAAATCTTCAAAAAATATTTATAAATTAAAAAAAGGATAAAAATTAAAAACATGGAAAAGTAAAAAAAAAAGAAAAAGAAAGATTACCATGTGGCACCTTTTAGAAAAAGATGGTGTATGCCGTACATAAATAAAATTTAATAGTTAGATATGTTAGAAGCTAGTTTATACGTATAACATATTTAAATTTAATTTTTTGCAACTTTTAGTTAAGTGTTCTATCAAAATATATTATTTTGGTATGATAGGTTCATAAGGTAATTTCATAATAATTACTACTTTTATTTTGTATACATTTTAAACATGTGTAATTGTATAAGAAAATAGCTTCACTTATATTCACAATTTATCTTTTTCGTTATAGAAAGCAATTTAATAAAAGATGTCATTAAACAACTTATATAATAGGTAAATTAAACACAAAAAATTTATATGCAGGCCATTTGATCTAAATACATGTATAACATATTATTGAAAAAGCAAATTGATAATCTTATAAAAAATCCTATCACCAAGGATCCTTATAAAAATCCTATTACCAAAGATAATGTAAAAATTTTCGAACCAACCCCTTAATAATGATATAGAACATAAACAAATAAATAGGTAAGGAAAGAAAAATGTAACCCGACGAGTTAGGGATAAAGCAAACTGAGAACGGAAAGGCAAGTTGGAAATTGAGGGGAGTTGAAAGTGAAAAGGACGCGTGGCAAAAGAGTATGGGCTCAAGATGCCACATAAGAATCTGGTGGGCAAAGAAGAGCAAGCGACTAGGGATACAGCAGTCATTTTAAACACCCTGCACTTTTTTAATTTTTTTATTTTCTAATGATAGGCATAGTTGATTGTCATTTATGAAAAAGAAAAAAGAAAAAGCTCATCCATCAGAACGTCACATGTCTTTGTTAGGAGAGGAGGAGAGCGCCGAGTGGGGAGCGCAGAAGGCTGTGGGTTTGAGGGTTGGGGTCCTTTGCTTAGGCCTGTGGCTTTAGGCTGTCGGGGTTTTTATAGTTACTTTTTAACACTTAAGCCGTATATATTATTGCGCTTCCTGTATCCTCGCTCATGTAGACATGTTATAGCAGCAAAACGAGTGTACTGTTAGTTTTTTCTCTACCGGAAAAGGAAGTTATTGGAGACTGGAGGAGTGGAGTGAGTGGTACTTTATTTTATATTAAACAAATTTGCAATAAATATACGAGGATAATCGGTTTTCCGGCGGCGGTTCTCAGGTGAAACTTGTACGCCTTTTAACTTTTCTTCTTCTTTTTGAGGGATCTGGTTTCTTTGGCTTAGCTTCTGTTGCTTTTTCTCCCTTTTTACGCGGATCTTTCTTTACTAGCTTGTTTTTTCTCTACAATTTCTTAGATCTTCTTTATCTGCTTTCGCTCACTAGATCTCGTCAATTTTTCATGCTATTATCGTTATATATGTTAGGGTTTCTTTTTCTGTTTCTAACTTTATTATGCTATGTTAGGGTGGTTGATGCTAGGGCTTCCAATTTTCCTCATTTGATTTGGTATAAGTATGTATTTTTTCTTCTCTGCAAATTAGAATTACTCAATGTTTTATTATTTTTGTGGAAAACGCTATTTAAAATTTAAATGAAGGAGCAAAATCTTTTAGTTTTGATAAAAAACGCTTGCTGCTGTACCAATTGCTGTATCCCTTTGTCCTTGCTGTATATGATATGAGTTTACTTGTTGCTCTTCTATCCTGTTACAGTTACCATCATGGTTAGGAAGAAGAGAACTGATGTTCCTTCTGCTGGAGGTGAGAGCTCTCAGTCCCATGATACTGGTGTTGGCAGTGGTCAAGGACCCCAACCTCCTCAACAACGAGGAGGATACTCGGGTGGAAGAGGCTGGGTTCCACAGTCCCAGCAAGCAGGTTGGGGAGGTGACAGTGGTGTTGGTGGTCGGGGTCGTGGTATGTCACGACAGCAGTATGCTGGAGGATCCCCTGAGTTCCAAGGTAGAGGAAGGGGAGGGCCTATCCAGCAAGGAAGTCGAGGGGGCTATGGCAGCGGTCGAGGTGGTGGTGCCCGTGGAGGAGGACCTTTGCCCGGTGGACCATCCCGACCACCTAATCCCGAGCTGCACCAAGCAACCCAACCTTTTCAAGCTGCTGTGACGCCACAGCCTGCTCCATCAGAGGCAGGTTCATCATTCAGACCACTTGAGCATGCACCATTGGCAGAGCAGCTTCAGCAGCTTTCCATCCAGCAGGAAGTCGGCCAAGCAATTCAGCCTGTCCCTCCCTCAAGCAAGTCAGTGAGGTTTCCGCTTCGGCCTGGAAAGGGTTGTACTGGCACAAAGTGTATAGTTAAGGCTAATCATTTCTTTGCTGAGCTGCCAGATAAAGATTTGCACCAGTACGATGTGAGTTTTCTTGTCATCAGTGTTTTCTATGTTCGGTTTTGCCTTTATTTGCAGGTTCTTGATTGCTAGTGTAAATGGAAATAGGTTACTATAACACCAGAGGTCGCATCACGAGGAGTCAACCGGGCTGTGATGCAGCAGCTGGTGAAATTATACCAAGAATCACATCTTGGAAAGCGCCTTCCAGCTTATGATGGCCGAAAGAGTCTTTACACTGCTGGTCCTCTCCCTTTTGTGTCAAAGGAGTTTAAGATCACCCTTATTGATGATGACGATGGGTCAGGAATGCAAAGGTTGTTGCTTGCTTTCTCGTTTTCAATCAACATTCTTATGCACTGATGTGTTTATTTGTTGTTATGTCACTTCTTTTTTGTTCCCCCTAGAAATTAAGAAAGAAAATGGATGAAAATTTATATCCCTTTCACCTCAGTTATAAGATCTAAGATTACAAATTTGAAATGTTTGTTCTGGCTTTGAAATGCTAAATTTTGCTTTCTCTATGATTTAAACTGGTTCTAATTGCCTACTGAGTGGCCATTACCTTCTTAATCTTCCTCTCGAATATTATTGATGCAGAAGAACATAAAAGGAAAAAGCTCAAATGAAATGAGGCATTGACTTTTTTTTTTTTAATTTTATTCATCTCTTATATATTCTTGATGCAGAAGAGAGCGTGAATTTAAAGTTGTGATCAAATTGGCTGCACGTGCTGATCTGCACCATCTTGGACTCTTCTTGCAAGGGAAGCAAGCTGATGCACCTCAGGAAGCTCTTCAGGTTCTTGACATTGTTCTTCGTGAATTACCTACTACTAGGTACTGCTTTTTGGTTCTTCCCTTTGCATATATGTTTCCACACTGCTACCACTTTTGAAATTTGATGTGTGAGAGACTAATGGTAATTGATTATAGGTACTGTCCTGTTGGCCGCTCATTTTATTCCCCTGACCTGGGGAGAAGGCAGCCTTTGGGTGAGGGATTAGAAAGTTGGCGTGGTTTTTACCAAAGCATTCGTCCAACACAGATGGGACTGTCACTGAATATTGGTATTGTGTATGAGAGGCTATCATTTTCCTTTTTGTTGGTCTATTTTGCATTCCTAGGTGGTTAATGCATGTGTTGTTCTGTGTGAATTTGATCCTGTGCCTTTATCTAGCATTATATTCTGGTGACAATTATCTGTTGGACAGATATGTCTTCAACTGCTTTCATTGAGCCATTGCCAGTTATTGATTTTGTAACACAATTGCTAAATCGGGATGTTTCTTCTAGACCACTATCCGATGCTGATCGTGTTAAGGTTAGATTTTCTTAAGTTTCTTTCTGATTGGAAATTATATTTAGCAAGCAATTTGGCATCCTTGCTGTTTATTCTTTCTTATTCATAAAATCAGCTAATTTCTTACATCTATTATTAGGAAATGAGTATCATTTCTTTTGTGTCAGCAGAAGAAAAAGTCTGCTAGGCAATGATATGTGCTCTCTTTCTATTGTTTTAGCCATTCTTTCTATGTCACTTAATTTTTTTCCTTATTTATTCCTGAATATTACTTATAGTAATTTGTCTCCATGGTTGTTGTATTTGTTTTTGTATAAATAGATAAAAAAGGCTCTTAGAGGAGTCAAAGTGGAAGTTACACACCGTGGAAACATGCGGAGAAAATATCGTATATCTGGTTTAACATCACAAGCAACTAGAGAGCTAACGTGAGTATTACATATTCTGTGATGTAATGTCTTTTTTGAGATTCTATCCACTTAAAATAAATTGTGTGAATTTTTTGTTTCACATTTAAGTATAGAAAAAGCGTTTCATTTGTTTCAAGTGAATAGATTATCTTTAAAAAGAATGGAGCAAGGATAATCACATAAATGTTGTTGAAGATAAAAAATTTTTTCGATCTTTCTGCTTTTTAAACATAGGCCAACAATATTAGGGCAGATGATCTATATGTTTGGTTTCCTGGTTACATCACGATGTGGCATGGAACTTCTCTAACAATCCTTATTGTTTTATAGTTTTCCTGTGGATGAAAGAGGTACAATGAAATCTGTTGTGGAGTACTTTTCTGAAACTTATGGTTTCATCATTCAACACACGCAATGGCCATGTCTACAAGTTGGAAATCAGCAGAGACCAAATTATTTGCCTATGGAGGTAAAGTATGCTCTATAGTCCTTTCAATTGGTAATTGGATATGCATGCTAATGAGCTGTGATACATGTAGGTATGCAAGATTGTTGAGGGTCAGAGGTATTCCAAGAGATTGAATGAGAGACAGATCACTGCTTTGCTGAAGGTTACCTGCCAGCGTCCTCAGGAAAGAGAGTTTGATATTATGAAGGTCTGACTTTTTTGCCCATGTTACTAACAATCTTTTGCTTTTTCACAGGAGTCTCACATTTTTTAAATTGATATAATTTGTTACACAATATTTTTTTGTTTCTTTTGATGGGTTGATATTTGATGTAATAGTCTTCTATACTTTTTGCCTTAAAGTTATGTAAGTGTTCTCCTTTTTCTTTTTATCTGCGGATCACACATGGACAAATTGCCTTGTAAAGATGGTATTAATTGTGCTTGCCAACATGTTATATCTAGGTAAAAATATTAAATGAGGACTGATTTGGTACCCATTTCAAAAGTACCTTTGGATCTAAAAGTCTACAACATATTTGTGGCTCTTGTTGTGAACATTTTAATCAAGACAAAATTGTCCAGTTAGTTTCTGATTTGTTACTGTTGGGCTGATTTATTATACTTCCTTCTATAGACGGTACAACACAATGCTTACCATAAGGACCGGTATGCAAAGGAATTTGGAATTAAAATTAGTGAGACGCTTGCTTCAGTTGAAGCGCGCATTTTGCCTGCTCCATGGGTAGGTTATCAATTTAATCATATTCTTGTTTGTTAGATTTATCAATTTATCATATTTATTAATTCCCTCAGTGACCGGATTTTGATTTGTGATTGTAATATCTGTTTTATTTGTAGCTTAAATATCATGATACTGGTAGAGAGAAGGATTGCCTGCCTCAAGTCGGGCAGTGGAACATGATGAATAAGGTATATCTTGCTGTCTATACTGTTTTAATGCTAGAGCATACATTGTGTGATGTTGAGCAGGATTTCTGCAATATATCTGTATTTGTGCTCTCATTATGTATTTGGTCTTAATCATACTATTCACAATCACTATGTGGGTGAAATAGATAAATAATTTGATTGTCTAGATAAATATGAAAAGAAAAAAATTTGTCATCTTAAAATGTAAATGGGAAAGGGTGTTGGAAGACTGAGGAAATGCTGTATTCATTTCCGGAATTGAAGGGTGAATTTGGTCAGGAAAGATGCCATGAACATTGTTTGATTTTAGTTCAGAGAACATTTGTAACTTTACACTATATGCTGTGTAACTTTACATAGCAATTGTAGACATATTTGTGGAAAGAAGAGAGCAAGGAGAAAAATTAAGAGTAGGTTTATGTTGTAGTATGTATTCTGTGAACGTTAAAACTAAATTTGTTAAGTTTAGGCTTATAAAACTAGTCAAATTGAACTTCAAAAGTTAGTTGAAAGTGATGACGTTGGGGACTGACTCACTCCATTATATATGATTATTTTGATTTTAGGTTGGTGAATTAGTTGACTTCATTATATATTATTTTTTATTTTAGGTTGGTGAACCAGGGATGGGGTTTAGAAGGATCCATAGACCCCAATTAGAAACTGCCATAAAATTTTGTAATTTATAGTAGTTTTGCAAAGAGTGCTATCTGTCATGTGTTATCTATATTTTTGTGTCTGTCCTTTGTTAACTATTTGTCCACAATCTATTGCCATTAACATTTTAATTTCGCATTCCATCCACGTAAACAATTGCTTTGTTCCATATGCATATGCAATTGGATGAACGATATTCTGGCAGGTGCTTGAAGTTCATCTTTTCTGCTTGGAATGATTGAATGTGAAAATTTTCTTGGTACATTTTCTGATTTCGAATTATTTAATTGCAGAAAATGGTTAATGGTGGGACTGTAAACAACTGGATCTGCATAAATTTTTCTCGGCAAGTCCAAGATACCGTGGCACAAGGGTTTTGTTATGAACTTGCAAAGATGTGTTATATCTCTGGCATGGTAAGGGAGTCGCAGTAATCTGACATTAGTCTGTCTTTGTGATCTCGGTTTGGTTATGGGTGAACTATTTCTTTTTTAATAGGATTTCTGTGAACATTGATATTTGTGTTAATTGCAGGCTTTTACACCTGAACCAGTGCTTCCTCCCATTAGTTCTCGTCCTGAGCAGGTGGAGAAGGTCTTGAAAACACGATATCATGATGCCATGACTAAACTCCAGGCCAAAAACAAAGATCTTGACCTGCTTATAGTTATTCTTCCAGATAATAATGGCTCTCTTTATGGTATGATTTTCGGCATCTGAAATTTCTTGTCTCATAAAAAATGTTTCATACCATTCTTTGAAATGTTCTATTTCCTTTGCAGGTGATTTGAAAAGGATTTGTGAGACAGATCTTGGAATTGTTTCTCAGTGCTGTTTGACTAAACATGTATTCCGAATGAACAAACAATATTTGGCCAATGTGGCATTGAAGATTAATGTCAAGGTTGGAGGAAGGAATACAGTTCTTGTTGATGCGATATCACGACGAATACCTCTAGTCAGTGACCGGCCGACTATAATTTTTGGTGCTGATGTTACCCATCCTCACCCTGGGGAGGATTCAAGCCCTTCTATAGCAGCTGTATGTTTTTTAGTGCATACCTCTTTGCTTTTGATGCTTGCATTTCATTGTCTCCATAATTGGCTTCTTTGAAATTTTAATCATTAATACAATATTTAATTAAACATTCAGGTTGTTGCCTCCCAAGATTGGCCAGAGATTACGAAGTATGCTGGTCTGGTTTGTGCTCAAGCTCATCGCCAGGAGCTCATTCAAGATTTATTCAAGACATGGCAGGATCCCGTAAGGGGGACTGTGTCTGGTGGCATGATTAAGTATGGTTTTCTCCACATGTTTCTAGTTTGAACTCCTTTTATCCTTTGGCAGGTATCAACTGTAGCTTGTCTGAAAACTTTTTTTTGGGTAATGCAGGGAGCTCCTAATATCTTTCCGAAGAGCCACTGGACAGAAGCCACAGCGCATTATATTCTACAGGCATAGTCAAGCTGCTGTCTGTTTTATTCCCCCTCTTCCCTTAGTTTTACTGATTTATTTTCTATTTTCTATTTTCTATATGCAGGGATGGTGTTAGTGAAGGCCAGTTTTATCAAGTTTTATTGTATGAACTTGATGCCATACGTAAAGTAAGGCTGCCGTTTACTACATACTACCAGTAATTTGTACATCAGTTTGTAGTTTCAAACCTCTGCCTCTTCTTTACTTTTCAATTTATTGTTCACTCAATTAACCTCAGGCATGTGCCTCTTTGGAGCCAAATTATCAGCCTCCTGTTACTTTTGTTGTGGTGCAAAAGCGGCATCACACAAGGTTGTTTGCTAACAACCATAATGATCGCCATTCTGTTGATAGGAGTGGGAATATTTTGCCTGGTAAGTACCATTCAGTTGTATAATTTACTATGATTTCTATATTGAACCATGATCTATTGTATTCTTCCTGCATGTATTTTTCAGGCACGGTGGTAGACTCCAAAATCTGTCATCCAACAGAGTTTGACTTCTATCTGTGCAGCCATGCTGGGATTCAGGTCATACTTGATTTGCTTCTTCATTCTATACTAGAATGTTTGGCTTTACCTCTGTTTTGATAGATTATTAGATTGCAGCTAGTGTTTCTAATTTTTTATCCACCTTGATAAGCAGGGTACAAGCCGGCCAGCTCATTACCATGTGCTATGGGATGAGAACAAGTTTACAGCTGATGCATTGCAGTCTCTTACAAACAACCTTTGCTATACGTATGTTCTTGCCTTGATCTTAATGAACTCTATATTGCCACGTTTATTTAGATGAGTGGTATCATATCATTACTCGTGAACAGTAATTCTTTTAAAATATGTTTCTAAAAAATAATTTTGTATAATATAATTTCTAAGTGTTTTTTGAAATGTAAAGTTTGAAGCATAAACAATTGAAATTTTATACTTATAATTTAGAATGAAAAATTTGTCAACTATAGTAATTCAATATAATCAATAACGCCATCAAAATACAGACTATAACACTTATCAAAAAGTGATGATACATTAATTCCTTTATCGATCTTAAATAACTTTCTATTATGTTAGAAGCAAATCTCTTTTATGAATTTTATTTAATATAATTAGAACTCTTTCTCAGCCATAATATAAATCAAACTTTTATTAATTAATAGATACAATAGAAATATAATCAATAAGGATGTCCTTTTTTGTCCAAAAAAATCTTTCTTTTTTGTTTCCTTTGAGGTGAACACTGTCTTCCTTCCAACATGGAGGAAGCAATATGAGTAAGTATCTATAATCATATTTTCTTTTATTGCAGATATGCAAGGTGCACGCGATCTGTGTCCATTGGTTAGTTCTCTTTCCTTTTCGTACCTTCTCCCAAACCCAAATGTGAATGCATGTTTGACTACTTTCAACTAGTTTCTCTTACCCTCCCCTCTCCCCCAGTTTTATTATTATTTTTTTGCTGTTATTATGATTAACACCCTAGGCACTATAAACGTGCAGTTCCACCTGCTTATTATGCTCATCTTGCTGCATTCCGAGCTCGTTTTTATATGGAACCAGAGACTTCAGACAGTGGATCTATGACCAGTGGCACAGCTGCAGGTCGTGGAGGCATGGGTGGAGGTGCAGGTGCACGAAGCACAAGAGGACCCAGTGCCAGTGCTGCTGTGAGACCTCTGCCTGCCCTCAAGGAAAATGTCAAAAGGGTTATGTTTTACTGTTAGGGGTGCTTGGTCATACTTCTGACTATTAGTTTATCGTATTTTGGACAATTTCTACTTTGTCGGGTTGGCGGAGTATATTGGATTCAACCTATCCTTTGTCAGTACCGTTTGCTTTTATTGTGTTTACTTTTGTTGACTGGTTAACAATGTTAAATTACAGACTAGGGATGCATCACTAAACATTAATTAGGTATTATCTCTATTTCATGAGCTTTAACTTTGGTCTGATAACATAGCTTGACATTTGATTAGAGTCTCTGATGGCTATAGGAGCTGCTGAATGGATTTGCTATTCCTTGTTAGAAAATTGACTGGCAAATTTCTCTTTTCTTCGTGGGTGGAATTATTCATAGGGATTTGAGTTGACATAGCTGACTGGTGTTTCCTAGACCCTCTCATCTTGCTTTGAGAGGAAAAGCTTAACTATTTGATCTCACTTAATTGAGGTGTTGATTGTAGTAGGGACTGGTGTTAGGGTATAATTGAGTAAAGTCGACATGGTTAGAAGCTTGACTTAGGAAGTTTTGGTAGTTGCTTAACTTAGATCTTTTCCTAATTGGTTTTAAAATTTATTAACACATCTTTTATTAGCTTATTAGCATTTTTATTGGCAATTAAATCAATTTTATTGTATTACTATTTGATTTTTTAATATGATATATTCATATGTTTGGTTCTCTTTTTATAATTTTTAAACTCATTATAAATGGTTCTTAACAAGGAATGGATGAATATTGATGATAGAACAAATGATGAATTCGTACAAGGGATTGATTATTTTTAAGAGTTTGCATTTGGCCAACTAGACATGGATGATAGAATTTGATGTTTTTGTAATAACTATAGAAATGTGGTTTTCAAAAAAATGATTTGAGATTAAAATTTGATATATTGAAGGATGGATTTCTCATTAATTACACCTTTTGGCATTTATATGGAGAAATAGAAGATGATTTATTAGAAGTTGGTGATGATAATTGTAGCATTTAATTTTATTTAGGTGAAATTTTGATTATTTGTGAAGCTATTAAAATTCAATTTGGTTCAAATCTAATTTTTTTTTTAATTTTGACAAGTTTTTAAAATCAACATTAGAGCCAATTTTGATTGGATGGTAGATGGTATGGTTGGGTGTATTTCGTTTTAATTATTTGCCTATCTAGTCATTTTCAAATATTAGGGAGTCTTCGGGATATCTATATGTCAATTACTTTAATCCAAATTTTAGGAAGTTTTGGTAGTTGCTTAACTTATATCTTTTCCTAATTGGTTTTGAAATTTATCAACAAATCTTTTATTTGCTTATTAGCATTTCTATTGGCAATTAAATCAATTTTATTATATTACTATTTGATTTTTTTAATATGATATATGTATATGTTTGGTTCTCTTCTTATAATTTTTAAACTCATTATAAATGGTTTTTAACAAGGAATGGATGAATATTGATGATAGAACAAATGATAAATACATACAAGGGATTAATTGTTTTTTAGAGTTTACATTTGGCCAACCTGACATAGATGACAAAATTTGATGTTTTTGTAATAATTATAGAAATGTGGTTTTCAAAAAAAAAGATTTGAGATTAAATTTCATTTATTCAAGGACGGATTTCTCACTAATTACACTTTTTGGCATTTACATGAAGAAATAAAAGATGATTTATTAGAAGTTGGTGATGATAATTGTACCACTTAATTTGATTTAGGTGAAATTTCGATCATTTGTGAAGCGTTTAAAATTCAATTTGGTTCAAATCCAATTTTTTTTTTAAAATTTTAACAAGTTTCTAAAATCAAAATTGGAGCCAATTTAATCAAAATGTCCCGAGATCAAAATTGGTTAAACTTGATCAAAATTTATTAATGGTCAAAATGGTTTAAACTTAGGTCAATTTTTAAAATTTACAACCAAATTGGGATCGATGTGGATTTAAACTAAAATTTGTGATGTTTAAAGCATTAAAAAACTTTCGCATTTTGAAAAATATAAAATTACAAAAATGTCTTTAATGGTATTTTTGTAATTTGATTTTTTCAAAGTCTGATTTTTGTGAAAACTTTCAAATCATAATTGAATATAGTTTAAGAATTTTTGATGCATTAAAAACCTAAATCACATTTTGAAAGGTGTGAAATTACAAAAATACTTTTAGAGCATTCTCGTAATTTAACCTTTTCAAGGTTAGAATTTTTAGAAAAATTTCAGATCATGATTTAATATTATTTTATGATTTTTAAAATTTTGAAACCTTGATCTCACCTTGGAAGGTGTGAAATTATCAAAAGGCCTCTTAAGGGTAATTTGATCTTTTTGATGTTGAATTTTCACAAAAATTTTCAGATCTTAATTTCATATTATTTCATAATTTTTGATACCTTAAAATCCTAAAAATGAACATGAGAATATTGTTTTCCAAGAAAATGACCTAATAACTAAAAACTTTGTATTAAGAGCAAATTGTTCTTTCCACTTGATCTAAGAGCTTTAAAAATCACACCTTTGGTGTAAACAATCTAGACCATTAGATTACATTGGTTGGCACTTTAAAACAAAAAAAAAAAGGTGAATTATGAGCCATTAAATGTTTTTTTAATCCAAAGGCCTAGATTTAATTTTATTAAGATGTCTCTCTGCCATCTTCACCAAAGAGAATGTTTTTCTGCATTGAAAAACCTAGAGGAGAGCTTGTGAGAAAAAAAATAAAGGAGAAAAAGAAAAATTGAGAGAAAAAACGATGAAAAAAGAAGATAAAAATCCTTGTGATTGAAGCTCGAAGGTGTACTTTTTCTTTTCATCCATTTTTTCATTTTTTGTATCCTTATCACATTTTTCATTGCATTTTCATTTTGTTTCATCCATTTCTTTGTTGTTTTTCTTGAAAGTTTCTAGTTCATTTTCTTGTTAAAAGTTTTAATCAAAGTTCATCTAACAAATCGATAGTTGGAGTGAAGCTAGTAAAGATGCAAAAACAAAACAATTCACAATTTAAAAACCAAATTGGAGGTTCGGCCAACCTCTTCCACCATGCTCGAACCTTCTCTTGGCTCTCTCAAAATGTTTTCTTTGCTTTTTTTGCTACCTATGTATGTTTGATTGATGGTTCACTTGTTATTTGTTTAGTTTATGATTTGGAATATGATGGTGTTTGGTTCATGTTCAAGCTGTTCATATTTCCTTAGTCATTTTAGCTTATTTCATGCTTGATAAATATCTTTTCATGATTCAAATGTCTTTAAGGGATGAGTAAGTAAATAAATAATGCATGTTTTGATGAAATGGGATGACAAATGCTTAAGGGAATGCCAAGTAGATTTGGCCATGATGGTGCTCTTGTTTGGTTGAACATTGCTCCATTGTTTGGTGGTTGATTGCTCTTTGATTCATGTATTGGATTGTGTTTTATGATAATTAGCAAGTTTTAATGTGTTTTAACAAAATTATCAACAAAAAAATGTTGTTTTGATGATTGATTTTGGTGATTTTTTAAGTTGTTTGGTAGAGTTTTAATGATGAATAAATGGTGGAACATTCAAATCAGTTTCAAAAGTTTGTTATGTTTGATCTATTTTTTCTCTTGTTTTTAAATGCTGTCTTGTTTTTTATTTAGCTTTGTAAATACTTTGTTTTGTAATTATTTTCCTCATGTCATGCTTTTGGCATATGCATTCATTAATGGAATTTTTGTAATTTGATTTTGTCATATATCCATTTCTATCTTGAAACCCCAAACCCCAAACCCCAAACATGAAACCTTAAATTTCATGAAACCCTAAACCTTAAACCCATATCAAACCTTAAACCCTAACTTAGACCCTAAATCAACCCAAACCTCAAAACCAACTCTCAAACCCTAAAATTAATCATGCATTTGGATTTGCATTTTATCTCATCATTACATGCATTTTTATATTGTCATGCATTCATTATATTTTATAATGTTCATGCATCTTATGCATTTGTTTTCAAAAAAATATATTTTTAAATAAGATAATATCTCAATTAAATATAATCGTTTAGATCTGACCTAACTTTAAAGGGACTTTCAGTGATTATTATTTATGCGTGGTGTTGTTTTGATTTTAATGGAACAATTTGAAAACCTTTAAATTAGAAATATTTTTGAAACTTTACATAATTGTAGGAGAGTAAAAGAAGTGTTTTGATATTTAAAATATTTTCATTTTAATCCAAAAATAAAAAAATGTTTTGGTTTTTTTTTTTCAAAAATTATTTGTTTAAAAAAAAAGAAAAAAAAGGGATTTAATTTTAAACATTAGAGAAAATAGGACTATTTTTATCAAAATTAAAGGATAACATGTAATCAATTGATATTGTCTTCGATGGATGTTGTGAGGGTGCTAATCCTTCCCTACGTGCAACTGACTTTTAGACCTAACTTTGATTTAGAAACCCGTAAATTAGTTCTTTTTATAAAACTTTTAAACTAGTTTTAAAAATTTTTATTAAAAAAATAAAATTTTTGAGAAGCCAATCACACCCTTAAAAAGATTGGTGGTGATTTTTTATTTTTTTTATCAAAAAAGTTTTTAGCCCCCTCTTTTCATCATTTTCTATTTGTCCAACTTTCGGGTCAGCTGCCCTTAGGTCCCGGGCTGTCGTGACATAATGACCTTAACAGAGAGGCTTGACATGAAGATATGGTTGGCATGTTAGGTGATGCATGTGGTTTGATGGATATAGATGTAGAATTTATTAGTGTAGTTGATATGAGCATTGATATATAACTTATGGATCAAGAACCTACTGTTGAGGTTGCAAAATTTTATGAACTATAAATGGATGCTAAACAAGAATTGTGTCTTGTATGAAAAATATTCAAAGTTATCTTTTATTGTTAAAAAATATTCAAAGTTATCTTTTATTGTTAAACTTTTTCACTTAAAATGCTTGTATTATGTAAGTGATATATACTTTGATGTTATCCTTGAAGTGATCAAAACAGGAATTACTAATAAAGATAGTCTTTCTTTTTCATATTATGAGGCAAAAAAGAAAAGTTGAATTAGGACTTGACTATATGAAAATAGATGTCTATTTCAATGATAGTATAATTTACTAGGGTCAACAAAAATGTAAATGGGTGTCTATTTGCCATTCATCTAGATGGAAGTCAAATACAGGAACGAGTATATGAAAAAGTTTTGTGATAATTTTCTCTTAAATCCCGATTGAAAAAGTTGGATATGTCAAAAAAGATAGCATCTTACATAAAATGGTACAAAGAAAAACAAGTATATGATGAGAGACTGAGACATCTTGCAGACTCTATTGTTTG